TGTGTTGGCAAGTTTGTTTGCCTAGCTAATAGTTTCATTTCTTTTCTTTTCTAGTTGTTATCGATCTATATCTTACATCCTTTTCTGAAGTACCGCGATACTTCAAGGGGGCGGTATATGTTATGCATGTTGGCAACAGTGCATTTATCTGGGAGAGCGTGACAGATGTCAAGTTAGACACTAACGTAATATAGAGAAAAGAAAAACATTTTATTCACATTTTTTTGGCACGATGTCGGTAATAAGTGTAAAAAGAATACATACAACTTATTCTAGACAGTGTAATGAATTTATGATAAAAATTCAAAAGATGGAACACTTCAAAACAACTGCAGTATTTTTTTTCTAAATTGGAAAGTTTTCAAAATATGAAATTTGCGAGTTCAAAAGTCCAAACCCCCCCCTGGTGGCTAAAATTATAGCTACATGTTAACTAATAATTCGAGACTTGCATTGCTGACATTGGTGTTTTCAATCAACTTTTGCAAGATTTCAAAGAAATATAAATAGATCGAAAAGTGTGTAAGTATTGTTTTATGTTTATGTGTTTTAAATAAACGAGTCTGGCAAGTTTCAACTGTAACTCGACAACGAGTAATTTGACGTATTTCAGTATCACTATCAGTAGTTGAACTCGCGAGTACATGAACCCTGAGATTGGCTTAAATATAGCCCAAACGCTGGCCCAAGAATTATGGTGTTTTATTTTCTGCAGCTGTCTATTGACCGATGAACTTAAGCACCTTAAAAAGCATCTTTCACAAGTCAAAATTGTCTTAAAACTAAGAGCTGGAAACTGAAAATGAAGGGGTTATTTTGGATTAAAAAATAAAATCAAATAATAAATAATGAAAAATGAAGATTTCAGAATGTGTTCAAAAGTACCTCGTCCAGATTAATACCGGTATTACACTAGATACATTCTTCCAATTTATGGGCCACAAAATTGAGTCATTTATGAAGGTCATCTTCTTGGCCGTACTGACTTTACGACGACGTACAAATATTCAACACAAAAGAGATGTCAAATAGTGACTCGAGAAAGCGCTAATCTGTTCCGCGGGTTTCTACCCGATAAAAAGGAAACGCTTTTTTACGAAACTTAGTTTACAGTAATCGAAGTGCAGGGAAAGCGAAACGATTCGATGGCAACCCCGGCAGAAATTTGCATGCATCCGGTGGCATAAAAGCACAAGGCACCAAGAACTATTTCTAATTAAATATTCATGTAAAATGAAAAGAGTATTGTATGACAAGTATATTGTAATTCGATATAATTATTGCTTATAGACTGAAAATTCCATTTGACTTTGTATTATGACTAAACAACACAATAAAATATTCGGCGCCTTTTACGAAAGTTAAATGATGAGCTAGCCTACGTGCCGTTTTTAGTTGTGTTAAATTCCATCGATTGACAACATTTATTTCTGCAAATAAGGTTATGTCAAGTCAATCTGTAAACTGCGTTTAACGCTGTAACCGGTCAGAATCGGGCAGTTAGTTTCTACCTCCAGTTAATATAAAAAATGTTCTCTATTGGAACCAGGAATCTTTATTTTCAATCGCATTCACTCACAAAGACGCTTAAAGGTGCGGTTTCGGTGATGAGATCGGCGACTGCGACTCAGTGCTGCGTTTGGCCGCAATCGCAGTCGCAGCCTCAGGTGATAGAGAACATTCAACGGCTATGGAAATGGTATACGTTTTTGTACGGATTACATATAGGTTTTTGGATACTTAAATAGATGAGTATGTTTAGATATTCTTTATTAAATTGTCATCCTCATTCTCTAAAAAACGAGCTATGCGATTGAACT